ATCCGCCATTGTCAATCATCCTCGGGTGCAAGAGGCCATGCATGCTAGACCAACAGAGTGGTCACACTGCACGCAAGATTAATTGCTTGACTAGGACAGCAAACTGTGAAAGTAAAGCAAACCACCTTTGCAGCAAATAAACTCCCCTAACTGACGCTCGATCTACTACTTTTGCAGCAAACTGAAGTCGAATGATGGACCGACGTTGATGCTGCCAACCCTTAAGTGGTTGATGGAGCACAACCTCCCGGTGTGGCTGTACAGGTAACGCCGAACCCAACACTGAACCACAAGCAAGATCTGCCAGAGTGTGTAACAGCGGAAAGTTTTTCTTATTTCACCGGCGACTTTGACTCCGTATGCCCATTCACCGCCATGAGGTACACCCTACATGCCCTCGGACTTGATGTCACGGAGCCATGGCGCCCATGGACAGTAAACAACGAGGTAGACTGAGCGCTAACGTTGCAGTTGTCAGTGGAGATTATCACTTTGTGACAATGCTGCTCTGCTTTGTTGCAGGCTGGAGGGTACATTCAGGGGTACAATTGTGGGCTGGTGTTTGTGACCGTCAGGGGTGCGGGGCACATGGTTCCTGCCTACCAGCCCGAGCGAGCTCTGGTGTTGATCAGTGCCTTCCTCAATGAAACACTTTCACCGCGCTATGACATGTGAACCAATCAACTAGAAATTGCGTTCATGAAATGCTTAAGAACCACACACTGCGTGTCGTCAAGGATGCAGCCATGTAATCATGCATGTAATATGTCATTGCCTTTAATACTGATTACAAACTCTTAAACGTCAGGTCTCCAATAGGAGGCGGGCTACTACTAAATGTCGATTCTAACATTAGCTTCATAATAATTGTACTAATATTTGATAGAGCACAATGAGGAAAAGGAAATCTTGTCGAACTAGCTAGAAAATACGTTCAACTGTCTTTCCGAGGCCAAAATTATCGTCAAGCGTTCCACTAAGGGGGCTGCTAAATCTCAGTCGATTGAGACTTGTAGATGAGTCAGCTGTTGGATCAAAACATTGCTTTAGGATTCGTCAGCACTGCTTTTCCCATGTAGTATCGGCCCATTATGGTGTTTTTTTGTTTTGTTTATTTTTTTTCCCGTGTTGGGCACGGATGCACCATGAACTGAGCGTGAGGGAGGGTCTCTTGTCTATTGGCCTTTTTCCTGGATGTGTAAGAGATCTTGTGTCCGAGCCATACATTTTTCTTAAAAAAGTTAATCTATACGTTGTTTATTCTGTTTGGTGGTTCATTTTAGTTTTATTAGTGTTCCACTCAAGATCAAACTAGGCATTCTTACTATTTCTAATTGATAAGGCAAGTTGTAAAAAAGAACAGGACGTTTTCATTTTCCCTTTTCATTGTTGTTTCTTATTTTGTCCTTTTTTATGTTCTTGTAGAGACTCTCCTCCGACACTTAGTGGGTCATTTTTTGTCCTTTTTCAATGTTCATGTCAATTTTTATTTTTTTCCTTTTTATGTTCATGTCCTTTTTGTTTTTTATGTTCATTTTCCATTTTCTTGTTAATTTATCCTTTCCCTTTTTTGCTCTTATTTCTGTGTGTTTTGGGTTTGATTTTTTTCATTTTCTAATTAAGGGCGTCCTTCTTTTCAAACTCGTCATCAAGTGGTACGCCAGTCTCCCACACGCAACCACCAAGTGTAAAACATGTGTGCAACTAAGGGTGCTAGAGGCTAGGTGCATAGGTGGCCGGTCGACATATTTATATTTTTTCCACATAAAAATAGGTATATTTATTATTTAGTGTTTCCCTGGTTTATTTTTAATTCATTTTGCACAACCGTTGGTCACTCGTCGTATGTGTGCAACTATGCTGATTTTTTTCTACGAAAAACATTACCTCCTGTTGAAGATGAGATGGATGCATGTAGTTGCATGTTTTTCACATGTGTGCAACCAAATTTGTTATTATTTTTATTTTTGCATTTTGTTTTTGTTGACGGTAATTTTCTTTCCTATTTTCCCTTTTCTACATTTTTCCTTCTATATTTTTCCTTTCTATTTTTTTCTTTTATTTATTATTATCTTTTGTTTTGATTTTTTATTGTATAAATTGTTTTTTATTTGCCACCTAGTTGCATGTTTGCCCTGGATGTGCAACTGTGCTATTATACCCTACATGCATCTGCAAGTGTCTCACCTAACTGCAACTGCAACTCATTGATGTTTTGTTTTATTGAAGTGGGGTAGTTGTATGCCTGCTACTAGTGACGCAACTTCAAGTGCCGCCTCCGACTGCAACTGTGTCTCTTCAAC